TGGATAACGTTGATTGATTTTCGGATGTTAAACCATCCTTGTGCCCCTGGAATGAATCCAACTCGTGGTGAATTATCTTATGGATACATTGTTGGATTCTGATGGCTAAAATTTTATTGAGGATTTTTGCATCAGTGTTCATTAGGGAGATTGGCCTATAGTTTTCCTTTTTTGTGTTGTCCTTATTCGGTTTTGGTATTAGTGTAATATTGGCTTCATAGAACGTGTTTGGTATTGTCCCTTCCTTCTCAATTTTTTGGAAGAGTTTGTGAAGGATAGGCACTAATTCGTCTCTGAATGTTTGGTAGAATTCATTTGTAAATCCATCAGGTCCTGGGCTTTTGTTTTTGGGGAGGTTTTTAATTACCATTTCAATTTCGCTCCTTGTAATTGGTCTGTTTAGGTGTTCTATTTCTTCTTTATCTAGCTTTGGGTGATTGTAGAGTTGTAGGAATTTGTCCATCTCCTCTAGATTGTTGAACTTGTTTCCATATAACTGTTCATAGTAGTTACTGATTATTCTTTTGATTTCTGCTGTGTCCGTTGTGATTTCTCCTCTTTCATTTATGATTCTGTGTATTTGTGCTTTCTCCCTTTTTTCCTTTGTGAGCCTGGCTAGGGGTTTGTCTATTTTATTTATTTTTCAAAGAACCAGCTCTTGGTTTCATTGATCTTTTGGATTGTTTTTTAGTTTCAATTTCATTTATTTCTGCTTTGGTTTTTATTATTTCTTTCTTCTACTGGTTCTGGGTTTTTTTGTTGTTCTTTTTCTAGATCTTTGAGCTTCGAGATTAGGTTGTTTCTTTGAGTTCTTTCTTGTTTTTTGATGTGAGCTTCTATTGCTATATATTTTCCTCTTATTACTGCTTTTGCTGCATCCCATACATTTAGGATATTGGTGTCCTCCTTGTCATTCAATTCAAAGAATTTTTTAATTTCTTCTTTGATCTCCTCGTTTAGTAGTGGTCTCCAGTAGTGTGGCTTTTAATCTCCATGAGGTAGGATAGTTCCTTGCCTTCTTTTTATGATTTATTTCTAGTTTGATGCCTTCGTGGTCAGAAAAGATGGTTGGTATGATTTCAATCTTGGTGTATCTGTTGATGTTTGTCTTGTGCCCCAGTATGTGATTGATCCTGGAGAATGATCCATGTGCGCTTGAGAAAATGTGTACTCCGTTTTTTTGGGTTTAGTGTTCTATAGATGTCTGTTAAGCCCAATGCTCTAGGTCCTTATTTAGAGCTTTAGTTTCTTTACTTATTTTTTGTCTTGTTGATCTATCCATTGTTGATAGTGGTGTGTTGAAGTCTCCCACTACATATGTGTTTTCTCTGATGTCTGTTTTCAGAGAGGACAACAGTTGTCTGATATATTTTGGTGCTCTTTCGTTTGGTGAGTATATGTTAATGAGTGTTATTTCTTCTTGAAGTATTGTCCCCTTAATCATAATGTAGTGACCATTGGGGTCTCTTTTTATTTTTTTGAGTTTGAAGTCTGTTTTATCTGATATAAGTATAGCTGTTCCTGCTTTCTTTTTTGGCCCATTTGCTTGTAGGATTGTTTTCCATCCTTTGACTTTGAGCCTATTTTTATCTTTTGTAGCTAAATGTGTTTCCTGGAGACAGCAAAAGGTTGGGTTTTGTTTCTTAATCCAGGCTGCAACTCTGTGTCTTTTTATTGAAGAGTTTAGTCCATTTACATTTAGAGTTAATATTGATATGTTAGCATCTGTATTTGCCATTGTGTTTGTCTTTCCTTTGATTTTATTTATTTATTCTTTTAATAACTTTTTTTTTTTGGTCTTCTTTCGTTGTTATTCGTCCCTCTGAGGTTCTGGCTTTAGGATTCCTTGTAGTATTTTTTGGAGTGGGGGTTTAGTCGCAATGAAATTCCGGAGTTTCTCTTTGTCTGGGAAGGTCCATATTCTTTCTTCATGGAGGAAAGAGAGCTTTGCGGGATAGAGTATTCTTGGTTGGCATCTGTTTTCTTGGAGTCTGTTGACTATGTCCCTCCACTCTCTCCTTGCCCGTAGTGTTTCTTCAGAGAAGTCTGATGTCAGCCTGATTGGTTTTCCTTTGAATGTTATCTGTTTCTTCCCTCTTGTCAGCTTCATTATTTTTTCCTTGTCCTGGATTCTTGGGAGCTTTACTATTATGTGTCTTGCTGTGTTTTTCCTTTCGTCGTGGAAGTTTGGTGTTCTTCTTGCTTCTTGTATATCAATTTTCAGCTCCTTCTTCTCATTTGGGAAGTTCTCTTCAATTATATCCATGAATATTTTCTCTGTTCCTACATCTCTCTCCTCTCCTTCTGGAATTCCTATAACTCTTATATTTCCTTTCCTCATGGAGTCAGATATTTCCCGAAGTCTTTCTTCATTCTTTTCCTTCGTACTTCTCTTTCCTTTTCTGTTTTGGTTCTTTTTATTTCTGTGTCTTCAAGATTACTTATTCGTTCTTCCATTTCATCTATTCTGCTTTCATTGCTTTTCCCAGAGTTCTTTAGTTCCTCCATTAATTCTTTGATCTCCTGCATTTCTCTTACTTCCCTCTTTAGGGACTCAATTTCCTTCTTCTGATCTATCACTTTTTTAATCATGGCAATTTTAAATTCTCTTTCTGGAAGGCTCAGAAGTTCTTCCAAGTTGCTGTCATTGCAATCTGGGGAGTGGTTTTCTTTTTGTGGTGTGCTTCTTTCCTGAGGAGTTTTTAGGTTGCGTGTGGTTCTTCTACTCCCTACTGTCTGTTTTCTAATTTGTCGTATGCGTTGGGACACTGTGTTGCTCGGACTGACTGACATCTTGGGTGAACTTCTCCGCTCCCCTCTGGCTCTTCCAGGAGCCATCTCTGTCTTCTGGGGGAGCTTTCTGCTGGATGTAGGCAGTTTTTACTGAAGAAATGTCCCTGTTCTCAAATGGTGAAGCGGGATGCAGTCCCTGCGCCTCCGGTTTCAGGCACACTCTTCTGCGCACCCGGTCTGCCCTGGACGTGGGTGCCTGCTCCCTCTGTGGGCTCAGACTGCTGGTCGGAAGGGGCCTGGCGTGGAATAACTTCCCGGCTGGCCACTGGGTCCTCCAGAAACCTTCTGCCCTTTTCAAGCAGTCTTAAGAAATGTCCTGTTTTATAGGGTGTTAGTGACTTTTTTTTTTCCTGGTCGCTAGGTGGCGCCAGAGATCTCTCCTATTGTCCTTGGGTGGCTGTTTTTCGCCTCCCCCCACCCCGTGGGACAGAGAACAGAGCAGGAATGGTAGGGTACACCTCAACAGCTTTGGGGTGCTGTGTCTGCCTTGTGCCCCACCGTCGTGGAGAAACCACGCCCCGAATTTTCGTGCCCCGGGTCTCAGTTCAAAGCCCTCAGTTCCAGGACGCGGGCTGTAGCCCAGTTCAGTGGCGCAGGAATGGCGCCTTTTGCACAGCTCCAGTGCCTGGGCACCTGGTTCCTGCTCACTCAGGGAGGGACCTTCACGTCAGTGAGGACCTCCACGCGTCTCCCCGCAAGCCTAGGTCGTCTCCCCGCAAGCCTAGGTCGCAGGCGCGGGGACCTGGGCAGCTGCGATCCAGGTGTGCACTTACTTTTCAAGTGCACGCCGAGCGCGCCGCTTTCCCGCGCAGGCTTACCGGCAGCCCGGGCTGGGTGCGTCTCCCGGGGTCTTTGTTCTTCTCTAATGGCGCCCGGAGCCGTTCGCTCACCGCCGCAGCGGATCCTGCAGGGTTCGCCTCAGCTCCCGTTCACGGGGTGTGGTGGCTGCAATAGTTCCTTTCCACTCACAGTCCCGCTTGCTGCGTCGTTTGTTCTTGTGGGTCGTTTTGGTTTGTTGTTTCCCTCCTCTCTGCCGGTCGGAGAGTGCCGCCTCTGTGGGCGGGGGAGGGGAGCAGGGTTCTGCGCTTCCCTCCCTTCTAGTCCTCTTTTATGGCCACTTTCTTCTTCGGGCAGTTCGCTGGCGTCACCCGTTTATCTTCCGTGTCCCAGTTCTCACTGGGACCTGCCGCTTTTCCTCCCTATTCACTTTTTTTAATGGGAGATCTTACTCGCAGTGTCTCCTCGCCGCCATGTTGCTCCGCCCCCCCCCCACAGTGGTTTCTATGACTTTCAATGTTAAATCTTGAAACTAGAGCCTAGAATGTTAGCCCAAACCAGAATACATTATTAAGGTCTGGAGTTCTGATGATTGTACCAGGGTCAGTTCTAAGAGATGAAGACTGAGTCGCAAATATAAGTAGAGGTTTAAATATGAGCAAAAGGCATAGGACAAAGCTCCAGGTTCAATCAAGGCATCAAGAAAAAGTTGTGAAATGACACATATATTCATAAGACTGGGAACTACAATTCAAATTCTTATTCAGATGAGCAGATTATTATAGCATCATATCTAATATGGGGCCACTGACTTCATGACAAAGATATAAATGACTTTGTTCTAATTCTAAATACCCTTGAGAAAGGGTCAGCTAAGTATATTTCCCCCCCAGCAAAGTGGAGTTGTATAGGTAGAGTTGTTCAGGTTTTCTAGGAAAATGATAGGTCCTTCTTTAGTTTAGGAAGTACTTTGGTCAAGACGTAGAGGTGTAGTTAGGTATGATAGGCTTGTGTTCCATTTTCAGTGTCCCTTCCCCTTGTCTCCTGTGATACACACACCATTGCTTTATATTCATCTCAAGGTATTCAAATGGTTCTTGTTATGCCTTGAAATACTGCCTGAATTTATCGAGTTAACACATTCATTATTATGAGTAGGTTCATAGGGTGATTTTAAAAGGTAAATGAGAGGAAGGAAAATCCTTCCTTGAAGGTGGAAGAACATGGCTCACTAATAAAGATGAGATCAAGAAAAAAAGACAATACTGAACTTAAACACTGCTACTGTTATTTCATCCACCCCCTCATTCCCATTTTTCTCTTTACCCAGGCTTATACTTCTATATAAACATATTGATATATTTCCCATTAAAATACCAGTTCAGTAGTGGGGAAGAGAATACCAATGGTTTGTTTTCTTGTTTTCTCAGGCACAATAACCTTGGTGCACGACCCAAAGGGCTCTTCACTCTGGTGAAGAGTGGTGTCCCTGAAGCATTGAGGGCGGAGGTGTGGCAGTTATTAGCAGGCTGCCATGACAATCAGGCAATGCTGGATGAATACCGACTTCTTATCACAAAGGTAGGATACTTTTTTCATATTATTCTCATGGGATCACCTATTAAATAAATCTTGTTTTAGTAACTCCAATAAGTCATAAATTCTTTGAACTTCTTTAAACTATATTGGTGTTGTGCCTTTTATTTTCTGTTGTGCCTTTTATTTTCTAAATTAAGGTAACATTGATTGACAACAATGCTTCATAGGTTTCAGAAATACAGGGCCAGTAATAGAAAAATTCTAAAGCTCCCTAATTTAAGCCATCCCTTTTGAAATGGATCTTTACATTGTCTATCCTAAAGTGGACCTGAAGCTGGCATCACTGTGTATGCTGTGACTTCTGCCAGAGGCTGAGGGCATTGCCATTGTTCATGAATCAGTGGCACATCCTTAAATTCTTTATTGCTTATCACTGAGATTTCTTGTCGTTCCTGTTAAATTAGCATTCTTTATAATTTTGCGGTGATCTAAAAGGATGATGAAAGGATTATTACCCTGCTGCCCCTATAAAAATAAGCAAATAGAACTTAGAATTTCTGAACTGGGAATTCAATCTTAATAGTTGGCTTGAGGAGCCACAATGATTACATTTTCACTTACTGTGAACCATTTGACATAGGGAGGTTTTGTGTGTTTCGGGCAACTTGAATTTTGTGTAGCTTTATAGAACAGTATGTATAATTTTGGTAATTACTTGGCCTGTATGGTGTAGTTTATCAAGTCTGCTAAATACTGCTTCCTGTAATAATACTACTTTCTATAAGAGTAAATTATAGTTCTATGCTCTTTTGTAGAAATGATTTAATATGTTAACATTCGTACTTTATACTTTGTTAAAATCAGAACAACCTCTTTATTGATAGTCTTTCAGAAATAACATCTTGAGCCATTTTCTATACCACTTGAATTCGTTTTTTTCTAAATGACTCATTAAGAACTGATATGTGTGCACACACACACACACAATTTCTTTTTAAAGATAAAAATTCTAGTGCTAGATTCACCTGGATTTGCATCTCACTCCTCCCTTGTATTAACCTGTGATCTTGTGAAACTATTTTAACTTATTAATCCTCAGTTTCATCATTTGTCAGGCATATAATAGTAACACCTAGTAGGATTGTTGTGAAAATTAAATGATAAAGTTCCTAGTACATAGTAAATATTAAAGTTTAGTGTCCACTATTTTTTACCAATATGATACTACATTTTGAACTTTATAATAGTAATGATGGATATTGGTGACAGCATTTATTTCTACTTTAATATGTATATGAGACACCTTCTAGTCATGTAATTTTTCCAGAGCACATGATGTGTATAACAGCTGATAGAATTGAGAATCTTTTTAGAAGTATGAAGTGTCAGATTTATCTATTTCTGTTTTTTTTCTGACTGACAAATATCATGGAATGTTTATTTGAACCCTAAAACTTGACTTTGTTGTGATTATATATAATATAATATAATATAATATAATATAATATAATATAATATAATATAATATAATATAATATCTTGACTTTGTTGTGATTATATTATATTATTTTAGTGACTTTCATATTCAAGAACAAGTAAAGCGAAGTGATAGTCTTTAAAAGTCGTTCCTAATAACTGATATAATCAAGACTGAAAGACAGGTGTTAGCTGCATTTACTTATTCAAACAGTAACTCTTTATTGAACATCTTTTATGGGCCAGGTTCTGCATGGTTTCTCGAGCTATAAATGAAAAGAGTTCACATCCTTGAGGAGTGAAGCCTAGAAAAATCAGGACTGTACACAGTATATTGTGATGCAAGTTATAATAGTTAACCCAATGTGGAATACAAAAGAGATAGTGATACTCTGCTATCACTAGGTGATAGCAGGAAAGAATTCCCAGAGATGACCAAGATGGGAATTGAGATGTCTGAGCAAGATAGAAGAGGGAGGCCAGTATAGGAGTGGCTTATGTAATGATTCAGCTGCCTGTTAGTAACTTAGCTTGGATTAACAGGGGACCCTAGAAAGTGAAATCAGTGTGCTCCCTTTTCCTGCACATCCCTCACACTGCCCATCTACATCTACTATTCATGGATCAGTGCTTGTCCCCTTGTTAAATGGGAAGAACATAATACAAATGTATTCCTGTTAGAATAAATATGTGAAATTAAAAACCTCCAAAAATATGTCATATCAAAATGATATCACAAGAGAATATTTAATTGGTCACCTCGGGTTGAGGTAATTGAATTTCAACCAATAGTGTTACAATTTCTAATCTATAAATCGAGGGCCTGTTGTGTGCCAGGTACTGTAGTAGGAATTAATGATTTTAGTTTTTGAAATCAATGAACTGAAAAATTACCATTAATTGGTTAAATATGAAACAGTATAAACTTGCAAAGATGAGGTTCAGCTTTATAAGCTATAGGGCATTTGTTCAAACCTTTATCAGGAGCAAAAAAGGCAAGAGTTTTAAATATTACCTGGGTAGTTACTGCCAAAAGTCTTTTTTGGAATGTAAATAAAAAAGAATGATGAGAGTAGCTTGTTTTACTTAAGAATCTGCAAGTTCTCTGCTTTCTTGAGCATTGTACGGACAGATAAAACTTCCTTATGTTTATTCTGTTCTTGTCATATTATTGGTACTTATCAGAGTAAAGCCTGTCTTCTTCTATTTCCCAGTGTAGTATTGTAGCAGATGGCTTTAAATAAAACATGTCGCTAGAGAGAAATGTTTTCTCTATTTTGGTGGATATGCTATTATATAATTACTGGACATTCTCAAGAAGAAATGTTTAAATTATTTTTTCTTGCAATTTAATAAGAATATTTAGTGAATATTTCATTGAAAAGTCAAATGATATTATCAGTTGTTTTTTTTTTTAATTTGGCAAATTTTCACAACTAAATTAAATTCTATACATCATTTAACCAGGTAGATGTTTGTTTTTCCTTAGTTTTTTTTTTTTTTTTAAATTTCAGTGCAGTGTGTTAGTTAAATAACTCAGTGCTAGATTTCATCCAGGAGCAGAGCTTTGCCTAATTACACAACTGCTCTGTTCTCTGTCATCACCTTGTCTATTTGTAGGAAATGAGCTTTTTGATAGAATGGGGTTATTCCACCTGGGGCTGTACCATTGGTGTTTATAAAAACCACAGGTTTTTGTTCTGGTACATTACTGATATAAACATAAAATTTATAAAAATTTCTCCTAGAAATTTATAGTTATTTAAAATTTATTAACCAAAAAATAATAAGGTGAGCAAAGACAATGAAAACTTTTCACTGTGTTAAAATGTAAATACCTTAAACATGTAGAGACTGGAAGCTCTTTAAAAAAAATTAAGAATCACTGAAAGATAATCTTTAAGAAAATGTACCTTTTATTTTTTTCTTAATAAGGATGATGGTTTCTTACTGTGTAATTGTACCTTTGGATTTATTATTTCTTCGCACCATCATTTTTATCAATTTTTTTTGGTTCTCATTCTTTGAGGTCTTTCACTTTCTAAAATATGCGTATGATAGATATATGTGTATGCATCTATATACACATACACACAGACATTTGTATGTAAAAAAATTACATGTGTATCTGAGCACTGTTTTTCCCCAAAACTGATATGTCTCCGTAAAAAATTTAAAATATAATCTTATTATTTTGATAATCTTAAATGATAATGTTCTTTCAACAGTAATAATTATTGGTTTTGCTTTTTAATTTTTAAAAAATATTTATATTATATAACTATTGGTTTTCTTATATTTTAAAAACAAAATAATTTTGAGGTAAGATAAGGAAAAGATTATTTTTTAATATTACCTTCATTTTCATATTATATAATTAGAGTAGACGTACACTGTTTTGAGAGAAGAGTTTTGAAGTTATTTTGTTGAGCATGGGTCATTCAGTGGTATAATAAAATTTGCACTATTTTATAGCTTTATATTGTTACAGAATTAAGGATAAGATAAAAACAGTGACATTTCTCTTAAGTCTCATGAATTTTCAAGATCCTTAGGTTTCAGTGTGTTTCCTAGTTTCTGATTTCATAATAACTTTATTAATTGTATTTATGCATATTTCTAGAGCATTTTTATATTTTATTAGGTTTTATGATGGGGTGAGGTTGATAGGAGTTTTGCTTTGATTTACTTTTCCACCAAATGTGTGTTTAGATATGTTTTATCATTAATTAGTGTCAAGGTTAAAAAAAAAAACGAGAGACAGCAAATACCTATGAGGCACAGGTACCAACAATTTCCCTCTCACTCCCAACACATGTTAAGTTTCAGCTCTAGTTTTGGTTAACTGTTTCATTTTGCAGCTTCTTGTTTGATTGCCTTATGTATCTCTTAATATCTTTCTTCTTTTGTGACTCTTTACAATTTATATTTCTTCATGTCTCAATCATGTCTTCTCTTCTTTATTACTTATTTACCTTTCTTAACTGTCCATAATTTAGTTCTGGAAAATGGATTTCATTTTTGTTGTTTGATGTTTTATATTTTCTGGATTTCATGTTCTCTGTAAATTTCTCAGATTGGAACTTTTTTTTAGCTGTAAGACTTTTAGATGATTTTCAAACTAAAAAAAAAAAGACCATATTGTTGTAGAGAAACTGTTGTTTTGTTGTGCTTTGTATCCCCAGGTATTTGTTGGATATTTAAATGAAATGAACTCTATAGGTTAATGTTCCATGAAATTTAAAAAAGAGGGGAAAAAAGGAGAGTTCAATTAACTGTGGCATTATAATTGAAGAATTAGATAAGAAGTTATGAATTTTGGGTTTTTTTCTTTAATAGCACACTTCAAATTCTAGACCAGAAGCTGATTAATTGAAAGTCTCACTTTTTTTGGAATCTCATTTATTGAGCAGCTCTTAGGAGCTAGATATAGACTAATCATTGAAAAAGTCTTTTTAATTCAGTTTTTTTCAATTATGAAATAAATATTTGCTTCTTTTGAGCTTATGGGGGTATATGTGATTGTTGATATGTACACATGAACATCTCAAAATATGACCTAGAGT